CTAATGACCCTCCAGCCCATCCCCCTTCCCACAAGGTCAGTGCTGGGCAGCATGGCATGCTCGAGATGTGAGCAGAAACTCGTGGGCCGTGTGCAATGTAGACATGGCCCACTGTATCTGGCACTGCGGGGCCGACGTAAAAATGCCCTTGGCGTGGGTAGGTGGCGTTTACTCGGTGGAAAATCGCCGCAGCCTTTTGGCTCGAGACCTGGACCAGGCCTCGCGTGGACCGTGCCCCTTCGCCCCCAGAGTCTCACGCTCGGCAGGCGGAATCAGACCATGGACTTCGCTGCCGGCACCACGTTTTTGGCGGCAGGCCCCGCTGCCGGGGCCGTCGTGGAGCCGACGTACGCGCCGCCGCGCGGCGCCGCGCGCCCGGCGCCGCGCGAGGGGCCCGGACCCCAGGGCGGCGCCCTGGCCCTCGCCACGGCTGGCGCCGCGCTTGCGCTGCGGGCCGCGTCGCGCAAGTCCGCCGGGAGGCCCCGCGCCGCGGCGGTGGCGAGGCGCGCCAAGGACCACGTCAACCTCGGCACGGTGGGCCACGTGGACCACGGCAAGACGACCCTGTCGGCGGCGATCTCGGTGGTGTGCTCGCAGTTCAACACGAGCACGGACACCAAGATGAAGTCGTACGAGGAGATCGACAACGCTCCCGAGGAGCGGGCCCGCGGGATCACGATCAACGCCTCGCACATCGAGTACGAGACGCCGACGCGCCACTACTGCCACGTGGACTGCCCTGGCCACGCGGACTACGTCAAGAACATGATCACGGGCGCCTGCCAGATGGACGGCGGCATCCTCGTGATCTCGTCTCCCGACGGGCCCATGGCCCAGACCCGCGAGCACATCCTGCTCTCGAAGCAGGTGGGCGTGCCAAAGCTCGTCTGCTTCATGAACAAGGTGGACGTGATGGACGACGAGGAGCTGCTGGAGCTCGTCGAGCTTGAGACCCGCGAGATGCTGAGCCAGTACGGCTTCCCTGGCGATGACGTGCCCTTCGTCCAGGGCTCCGCGCTGCAGGCGCTCGAGGCCATGAAGGCGAACCCCAACACCAAGCGCGGCGACGACAAGTGGTGCGACAAGATCCTGGAGCTCATGGACACGGTGGACGAGTACATCGACCTCCCCGAGCGCCAGACCGACAAGCCCTTCCTGCTGGCAGTCGAGGACGTGTTCTCCATCTCGGGCCGCGGCACGGTGGCGACTGGCCGCGTGGAGCAGGGCGTCGTGAAGAAGGGCGACGAGGTCGAGATCCTGGGCAGGGGCAAGAAGGCACAGAAGTCCGTCGTCACCGGGATCAGGATGTTCAACACGGACCTCCCCGAGGGCCCAGCAGGCTACACCGTAGGCGTGTTGTGCCGCGGTGTGTCACGCGACGACATCTCCCGCGGGCAGGTCATCTGCGCCCCAGGCGCCACCAAGACGCACACCAAGTTCAAGGCCAACATCTACTTGTCCAGCAAGGACGAGGGGGGCCGAAGCAACCCCATCATGCCCGGCTACATGCCCGTCTTCTATTTCCGCACGTGTGACGTCACTGGAAAGATGGTGACCATGGCGAGTTCCGAGGGGAACGCGGTGCAGATGGCGATGCCCGGCGACGACGTCACGATCGAGGGCGAGCTGATCGCCGCAACCCCGATCGAGACGGGCATGCGTTTCGCCATGCGCGAGGGAGGCAAGACCATCGGCCAGGGCTTGATCACCGAGGTGAGCTAGAGGATGCGAGCTCGCCAGCTTATCGCGCGGCATGATAAATTTTCACGTTCGCGAGACTCGTCCTCACCTATGTTTTCGGGTAGCCCCTTCGGACTCATTGGTCTGGTGGCAACCTCCAAGTATCGCGGGCTTCTGCGCTGATTCGCGGACCTGGTGCATCTGTGATCATTGCAATACTCGCCCGCTGTTTCGAGACCCGTCTGTACAGAACAGGCTGTCGTGATAAACTTCCTTGGTACGGAACAGGCTATCTTGTTAAAATGATTCCGTATCCGTTGCCAGCATCCAGGTTACCACCACCGTCCTTTCCACCGATTTCGTGCTCGTCACGGATGTCCCTAGCCTCATAGTGAGTGCGGAGGCTTGTGTCAAGAAAGCGAAGAGGCCACTGCAACGATGCCCCGCAAATTGACATGGCGGCGACAAAGTACAAGAGTTCTGCAACATCATGCTGGGACTCCAGGTTTCCCCGTCGTGTTGTGCATCCTATACCCCAGACCTAATGACCCTCCAGCCCATCCCCCTTCCCACAAGGTCAGTGCTGGGCAGCATGGCATGCTCGAGATGTGAGCAGAAACTCGTGGGCCGTGTGCAATGTAGACATGGCCCACTGTATCTGGCACTGCGGGGCCGACGTAAAAATGCCCTTGGCGTGGGTAGGTGGCGTTTACTCGGTGGAAAATCGCCGCAGCCTTTTGGCTCGAGACCTGGACCAGGCCTCGCGTGGACCGTGCCCCTTCGCCCCCAGAGTCTCACGCTCGGCAGGCGGAATCAGACCATGGACTTCGCTGCCGGCACCACGTTTTTGGCGGCAGGCCCCGCTGCCGGGGCCGTCGTGGAGCCGACGTACGCGCCGCCGCGCGGCGCCGCGCGCCCGGCGCCGCGCGAGGGGCCCGGACCCCAGGGCGGCGCCCTGGCCCTCGCCACGGCTGGCGCCGCGCTTGCGCTGCGGGCCGCGTCGCGCAAGTCCGCCGGGAGGCCCCGCGCCGCGGCGGTGGCGAGGCGCGCCAAGGACCACGTCAACCTCGGCACGGTGGGCCACGTGGACCACGGCAAGACGACCCTGTCGGCGGCGATCTCGGTGGTGTGCTCGCAGTTCAACACGAGCACGGACACCAAGATGAAGTCGTACGAGGAGATCGACAACGCTCCCGAGGAGCGGGCCCGCGGGATCACGATCAACGCCTCGCACATCGAGTACGAGACGCCGACGCGCCACTACTGCCACGTGGACTGCCCTGGCCACGCGGACTACGTCAAGAACATGATCACGGGCGCCTGCCAGATGGACGGCGGCATCCTCGTGATCTCGTCTCCCGACGGGCCCATGGCCCAGACCCGCGAGCACATCCTGCTCTCGAAGCAGGTGGGCGTGCCAAAGCTCGTCTGCTTCATGAACAAGGTGGACGTGATGGACGACGAGGAGCTGCTGGAGCTCGTCGAGCTTGAGACCCGCGAGATGCTGAGCCAGTACGGCTTCCCTGGCGATGACGTGCCCTTCGTCCAGGGCTCCGCGCTGCAGGCGCTCGAGGCCATGAAGGCGAACCCCAACACCAAGCGCGGCGACGACAAGTGGTGCGACAAGATCCTGGAGCTCATGGACACGGTGGACGAGTACATCGACCTCCCCGAGCGCCAGACCGACAAGCCCTTCCTGCTGGCAGTCGAGGACGTGTTCTCCATCTCGGGCCGCGGCACGGTGGCGACTGGCCGCGTGGAGCAGGGCGTCGTGAAGAAGGGCGACGAGGTCGAGATCCTGGGCAGGGGCAAGAAGGCACAGAAGTCCGTCGTCACCGGGATCAGGATGTTCAACACGGACCTCCCCGAGGGCCCAGCAGGCTACACCGTAGGCGTGTTGTGCCGCGGTGTGTCACGCGACGACATCTCCCGCGGGCAGGTCATCTGCGCCCCAGGCGCCACCAAGACGCACACGAAGTTCAAGGCCAACATCTACTTGTCCAGCAAGGACGAGGGGGGCCGAAGCAACCCCATCATGCCCGGCTACATGCCCGTCTTCTATTTCCGCACGTGTGACGTCACTGGAAAGATGGTGACCATGGCGAGTTCCGAGGGGAACGCGGTGCAGATGGCGATGCCCGGCGACGACGTCACGATCGAGGGCGAGCTGATCGCCGCAACCCCGATCGAGACGGGCATGCGTTTCGCCATGCGCGAGGGAGGCAAGACCATCGGCCAGGGCTTGATCACCGAGGTGAGCTAGAAGACGTGAGCTTGGCCGCCGACTTCGACTACACGTAAGAGTGACCATTCGCCACGGTGACCTTTGGTGCGGGCTGATCGGGGTCCCTCCGATCGCTCAGCGCGATGCGATGGCAGCTGATTGCACGCTTGGATCTGGCCACCTGCCCCCCCCCCCCTTAGTTCGCGAACCAAAGTTCACTCTTGCCTAGGGTCACTCTTGCGTGCAGCCGACTACTACGTTTTCTCGTATACGTTCGCGAGGTTCTTCCTCCCCTATGTTTTCGGGTGGCCCTTCGGCCTCATCGGGCCGGTGCCTACCTCCAAGTATCGCGGGCTTCTCCGTTGATTCGCAGACTTGGTGCATCTGTGATATTTGCAGATGCCCGTTGTTTCTCGACGTCTCTCCTCCCCCTCATCATCCTCCTCTTCCTCCTCCTCCTTCTCCTCCTCCTTCTTTCCCTCGGACCAGCTCCTCTGACTTGGCCCCGGGAGCCCCTCGGATTACGGTACGGAAGATTGTGAGATCTCGAGGCTCCAGGCTGCAGAGGCCACGGTCGTGGCTTCCCATATGCATCGCAAAAGCAAAGACCAGATCCCCACCCACTCCCACCACACTTCTGCCTCAGCCACGCGGGTTTCCGCTGCTGCTAGGCTTGCTATGCAGGCCTAGTTGACGTGGGACTCGCCCTCTGGTACGTTCGCTCCTCCTCCTCCTCCTCCTCCTCCTCCTCCTCCTCCTCCTCCTGCTCCTCCTCCTCCTCCTCCTCCTCCTCCTCCTCCTCCTCCTCCTCGTGCTCATTCCGTAGCCATTTTGGCTCAAGTCCGTCCCCTCCGTGGGATCTCGGATTTGGGCCGAAATGGATTCCACAGCTGTCTCGCCCAAGGCCCCCTGGCCGAGCGTTGCGCCGCCCGCCGCCGTGGGCCGCGCGTCCATATGTCCATGCTCTCGCACGCTCGGGTGATCCCGCTGCTGCTGTTATTGACCTGCGGCGTCGTCATGCCCCACACGCGGTCGCCAGCTGCACTTCATATTCGTCGTTGTCGTGCCTCTCAACGCGGCCTGCGTCGCTATCGGGATGGCGGACGCGTCCATCTTCAGCTCGCTCTTCTTCTTCGCGACGAACGACGGGCACTGCCAGGCGCCCCAAGACAGCTCTTCCCCTTGGGCGTGTGCATGAGCGACGAGGTGTCGAAGGTTGCACGCTACATCCAGGTCCTCCGCGAGCGAGCCGCACCAGGACATGGAGCTGGTCCGCTCCCACATCTCGCCCGTGCTGCTGCCGCTCCCCACGCCCGTCCGCATGTCCCTCAGCTCGGAGTGGCTGGTTACGTCCTGCCGCCTGGAGTGGCCGGCGCTGCCCCGCATGGAGCTGGTCCCCTTCCTCCGCCAGTTCGTCAAACTGCACGTCAAGCTTACCATCCAGTTGAACTCGATGCCGATGGTGTCGCCGACGATCTTCTGCATGACCCACGCCCCGTTCTTGGAGCCGCCCTTGGCTGTGTTCCACGCGACGGAGCTGCTCATGAGGCCCTTGGCCACGGAGCTTGACCGCTTCCACACCACGTTCTGCAACCTGGATATTTGCTCGCCGCTGCCGACGGTGGCGCCCGTCTTCGTAGGGATGCCCTTCCTGCTCTTCGTCTCCTTGTTCGTGAATGGCGGCGAGCGGCTCGCCGTAAGATCCTCCTCGCGAACAGGCCTCTCATCCGCTGCTTCGACGAGTGGTACGACCTCGTGTTCGAGGGCACCTTGTCCACGGCAGGCGCTCAGCCCTCCGCTGCCGCCGACGGTGGCGTCCATCTTCACGACGAACCTCTGCCTGAACATGCTCCTGATGCGCCTCGTGTTGAGGCTGCCGCCGACGGCGGCGAACACCAGCATGAAGAACTACTGCCTGAACCCGTTCATGATGAGGCCGACGGTGGCGATAATTTGCAAGATGTGCCTCTGCCTGAGCCCGCTCGTGGTGTGCATCGTGCTGCCGCTGACGCTGACGGTGGCGATCATCTGCTTCAAGAACTCCTGCGTGAGCTCGTTCGTGATGAGCTTCCTGCTGCCGCTGCCGCCGCCGGTGGCAACCAATTTCTTCAAGAACGTCTGCCTAAACCCGTTCGTGATGAGCTTCGTGCCGACGCCGCCGCTGCTGGTGGCGACCATCTGCGTCAAGAGCTTCAGCCTGAACCTCATCGTGATGACCACCGTGCTGCCGCCGTCCCCGACGGGCCTCCGCATGAACCTGATCGTGCTGACCATCGCGCTGCCGCTGCCCCCGACGGTGGCGACCATCTGCATGAAAAACGTCGACCTGAACCCGTTCGTGTGGAGCCGCTGGCAGCCGCCGCCGCCGACGGTGGCGACCACGGCTGGGCTGCCCCTGGTGCCCCGTGTCTGCGTCGAGCCGATATTCTCCGCCTCCGCCGCTGCAGCACGGCCCTTGCTGGGCTGGCAGAGTCCCTGGTGGATCCCGACGCCGCCCTTCATGATGCTGCACGTTCTGAGGCCCCGCGTGACTGCAGGCCCGTCGGAGTGGCTAGCCCTGCGACCCCTGTCTCGCTCTCCCCGCCTCTTCCCCCCATCCCAGTGTTTCCCACGTTCCCGAATGCAGATCATGGTTGTCATAATGCTTCGCACGAGTTACATCTTTCCGCTCCACGTGTATGGCCCCATGCGGACGGCCAGAGCGGAAGTAGTCGCAGCGGCGGTCGGACGAGATCGGGATCACTTGCCCTCTTCTCGTGTCTTGCCCGCTTGCCCTCGTCTCTTCCTCTCTGAGTACCTGCACTCCTCCTCATGCTCATTATGTTTCCTAGTCGTCCCTTATCCTCCTCGCCTGCCTCCTCCTCCTCCTTCTTCTTCTTCTCCTGCTGCTCCTCTTCCTCCTCCTCCTTCTCCTCCTCCTCTCCCTCTCCTCTCTGTTTCCTTCTCGCCAGCGTCCAGCGCTTCCGCCATCCGCCGCCGCCACCGCTGTGCCCTTCGCTCGCCGTCATCATCGTCGCGCCGCCGTCTTCAAGAGGTCCCCAGAGGTCCCAGAGACCGATGCGAGGCCATACGACGCCTGGAGGATCGATCTTCGGGGGCCTCAGCAGGCGCTGGATCTGTATGTATGTTGCCCCTCTGGGGCCCAAATATATCCATGTCAACCGCACCCTAGGGTCTCAGGACATTGGTTCCCCAGGCGGTGGATGCGGATAAATCCCGGGCTCAATCCCTCGACCCCTCCCTCGCCCCTCTGCGTGCGCATCCGTCGGGGCCCTGGCTCGAGCCGACCAGGCCGCGGCCCCTTGCTGCACCCCAGGCCCTTCCCCTGTTCCTCCCGCCAACTCCCCGGACGGGCGCCGCGGATCCACACGGTTGGCGCCAAAAGCAATCTCGGGAGAGAAAAGGAGGAGCACGAGGAGAGGGAGGAGGAGGAGGAGGAGGAGGAGGAGGAGGAGGAGGAGGAGGAGAGGAGGAGGAGGAGGAAGAAGAAGAGGAGGCGGAGGAGGAGGAGGTAAAGCGGCGCCGATGCGTCGCCGACGTCGCCGATGCATCGTCGATGCATCGGCCACTGGCGACGCGGCGCGATCCTCCGACCCATCTATTCGGACCCCACTCGGAAGGCCTCCATGACGGCTCAGGGCAGAGCGAGCCGGCAGAGCGACGGAGCGCCGGTCTGAACTGCGGCCTCGGGCGCTCGGCCTCCGCCCCCCCTCCGCAACCCGCTTGGGCTCGAGAGGGCCACTTGGACGGGCGCCGAACGGTCTGGCGGCTCCATGGGTCCTCCAGCATCGGCCACGCGTAAAGGCGGCCCCTCGCCGGAGTGACCTCTCGTGCGCGGCTTGCGGGGCGCACGGGGCGGGGCCAAGCCCAGGCGCGCAGGGCGCCACCTGTCGCACCGCGTGCAGCCATCGGCGAGCCGCGCACCCCAGGGCTCCCCTTCTGAGCCCGAGCCCGTTTGGCGTCTGAGCCCATCCGGCCCCCGAGTGGATTCACGACCGAGCCCATTCGGCGGCCGAGCGGGCGCAGACACGGAGCGGGCATTGAAGAAGGGAACGGCACCGAGGGCCCCTCGTGCCTGGGGGCCGCCTCTTGCGCGCAGCCGACAGCAGCCGCCAAGCGGCAGCAGATGAGCTCGCCCGTGGGCCATGGCAGCGGCGGCGCGCAGGGGGCATGGCCTGCCCCCGTGGATCGGGCCCGCCTGCCGCCGCGGGCTGCCGCCGTGCCTGCTGCTGCTGGCCGCCCTGCGCCTCGCGCGCTGGGGTGATGCGCGCCCCAGGCCTGGGCGACGCCGGCCGCGCTGGCCGGGCCAGCTCGGTGCGCCGCCGCCGCCGCCGCGCGCGCTTTGCTTCGTGGGCGAAAAGCAAGATCCGCGTCCGCGGCCTCGCGGGCCAGGCCTCTGGGCCCCGACCCCGCGGACACGGGGCGCTTCTCCGCGCATGCCCCGCGCGGAGCGGATCCGTGCGACCGCGTTGGTGCTCGGCGGCGGCGGCGCATCGAGCTGGCCTGGCCAGCGCGGGCGGCGTCGTCCCGCAGGCCTGCGGAGCCTCCCGCGGCCGCGGCGGGCGAGCGGGCGGGCCGCCCGCAGGGGCCCCAGGCCGGGGAGGCGGCCGCGCGGAGGGCAGAGGAGGCCGCGCGCCGGGTGCGCCTGGCCGAGGCGAGGGAGCTGCGCCTGGCGGAGGAGCGGCGAGCCGCGGCGCGGCGCAGGGCCGAGGCGGCGGAGCAGCGGCGGCGCCTCGAGGAGGAGAAGCGCAGGAGGCAGAGCCGCCGGAGGGAGGACGGGCGGCCCGCGCGTCAGAGGGGCCCTTGGCCAGAGCCACCTCCCCTCAGATCCTGGCGTGGCATTTTTCTCGCAATTTGGCGTTTCCGCCCGGTTTCGGGCCCCGGGATCCTCGCAGATCGAGATATAGGGTCCGGGGCTCTGGGCGTCACTCTTCGCGATGTTGCATTTGTTTCGCAACGTCGGATCTCAGGGTCTGGTGCGGCGCCCTGTGCACAGGGCCGCCTTCCCCCCCCCCCCCCAGCACATTGGCGTGCGCGCTCGGACGTGCCCCGCCCCCCCCGCGCGGCGCAGGGCCAGGGCCTGGCTCTGTGGAGATGCGGGGTTCCTTCAGAAGTGCAAGCACGCAAAAGGCAGGCCTGAAGTTGGAGGCGGCCGCGGGGCTTGAACTGGTTAGGACCCCAGGGCATCGGTCAGGAGGGGGGGCGAGGCCAAGTCCGCTCAAATCCGTTTCTGGCGGTCCCTAGGCCCGAAAGGAGGCCGAAAAGACCAAAAAGCTTTGCAGAGCCCGAGAACCTCGAAGCTGCCCGCCCTTCCTGCTGGCCGGAACCAGTTGAAGCAATGCAGGAGACTTGCAGGGGACCTGCAGCCGGGCCCCCCCCCCCGCGGCCCCCGAGCGCCGCGCGCCAGAGGTGACTCTTGCCCAGTGCCGCTCTCTCGCGTGCAGCCCTGGGAGGAGGCCGAGCGGCGAGAGCGGCAGAAGCTTCGGGAGCGGGCGGCGAGCCTCCGCGACAGGCGTCGACGGAGAACAAATGCCATAAACATACATGTTCGGAGCTCCGCGCGGATTTCTTGGATCGGCGCTGGGCCTCCCTGGAGGCGCCTTAGACGCCGCCCCTGGCGCGCTCCGCGCGCCAGGGAGGGGGGTCCAGCGCGGATCCAAGAAGTCTGCGCGGACCTCGAAAAGTCGATGCTCATGCTTTTGCCTCTTCCTCCAAGGCAGGAGTGGAAGGCGGCCAAGCGCCGGGCGAGGGGCGCCAGGAGGGACGCGAAGGACGCGAGGCGGCTCAAGGCGCTCTCGCGCGAGGTGCAGCGTGCGGACCAGCGCGCGGCCGACCTGCGGCAGAGCGAGGAAGAGGCAATGCAGCGAGTGAAGCAGGAGGAGCAGCGCCTCGCGGCCAGCGGCGCGGCAGCCGCAGCACCGGCAGCTCAGAGGCAGAGGGCGGAGGTAGTGGAGAGGAGAGCCGCTGAGAGGCATGCTCGGCTCGAGGCCGTTGCGAGGGATCGGCAGAAGCTCATGGACAAGTGCGCCAAGATCCGCGAGCGGTCGAGGTACAAGAAGGAGAAGGCAAAGTACAAGGACCAGAAGTTGAGCGCCAAGACGTCCAGGAGGCTGAGCGCAGTGGAGCGGGCGCAGCGCAGGCTGGAGGAAAAGTGCGCCGCGGCGCGCGAGTGGGAGGAGGAGGCGAGGCAAAGGCGCCAGACTTCGGAGGAGCAGCTCGCAGCCCGGACGAGGGAACACGAGCAGGCCCAGGAAGAGAGGCTGTTGATTGCCTCTGCCAAGCGGCTGGAGAAGCTGAGGCGGCGCGAGGAGGAGGTGGAGCGCAAGAAGCAGGAGGCCGACGAGAAGGCCGCGGCCCGCCAGCGCCAGAAGGAGGAGACCGAGCAGCGGCGGAGGGAGCTCGCGGAGAGCGCACGCGCCGAGAAACAGCGCAGGCGAGAGGAAGCCGACGCCGAGAAACGCGAGCTGGCCCGGCGGAAGCGCGCAGAAAAGAAGCGCAGGCAGCAGGCGGCCGCGGACGTCGGTCGGGAGGAGTCGGCGCCCGCCAGGCCCGACGGAGGTGCTCCTGGCACGCCCGCGCCTCTCCTCAGCGAGACCGCTGTTGCTGCGCTGCTGGGCGCCGCAGGCACTGCAGGCTGGGCCTCGCTCCTGGCGCTGGCGCTGCGCCACTGCCAGCGCCGCCGCCAGCGCTCTGGCGACACCCCAGGCAACGTCGCCGGCGCGCACAGGCGCGTGCTGGCCTTAGCGCAGCGGGCCAGGCCCACCCAGCGCTGCGGCTGGCCACAGAGCACCGGGCCCCCACTGCGGAGGGCGCTGGGCGTCGGCGAGCTCCCAGCCAGCGGGCTTGGCGCTGCACCCGGGCGGCTGGCGGGAGCGTCGCTGGGCGCCCCTCGGCCCTCCACGCCGCCCGAGCGGCTGCACGCGCCAAGCCACGAGGGCGCGCCCAGTGGCGGCTGCTCGGGCGGTACGCTGCCGCGGCTTGGCGGCCCAGCGGCCGGGCCGCTCGCGAGCGCTGTGCTGGCCGAGGCCGCCTCGGGGACGCCGCTGCGGAGTTCCCCGCGGTGGCACTCGCGCCAGGCGAGGCTGAGTGCGCCGCCGAGGGGGCTTACGATTGATGGCTGGGACGCCTTCTTCGACGAGGCCAGGCCTCCCCATGTCACCAACGGGTGCGAGGCGGTTGTGAGGCGAACTTCGTCGGGCGTGCTACCCAGTGAGAGGTCGTGCTTCTTCATCGGCGACGACGATTCGGCTGAGAGCGCGGGCCTCGGCAGCCCCACCGCCGATCCGCCCTGTCCGAGTAGTTGCTCGGCCAGGTGCGCGCCAGAGACTCCGAGGGACTCCTCCAGCGAGGAAGTTACCGTTGGCCGGCTACTCAGCAGTCCACCGTCATCGCGGCAGCGTGATTTGGCCACCTCTTCGCTCCGCGCGCCACCACAGGAAGCGCCAGATGCAGCAGGTTTTGCCAGCAGAACTCCCACGCCAACAGGCACAATCACCGCGCACGGTCGCCGCCGGTGGCGGTCGCACAGGACTGGAGTTGCCGCCGGGATTGAGCCAAATGCACACTCAGTGAACCGCCCAGAGGCAGCCAGCTGGAGGGCTATGGTTGTGGTGTCCAGCGCCGTGGCGCCGGCCCGGCGCAGGCGTCCGCGAGCCCCAGAGGTGCTTGCTTCTCCGCCTGCGTCGCCACCAGCGCTCGTGGTCCAACATGGCCCTGGTATCCCGCGCACCCCGCTGGGTCTGCCTGCGCTGGCGGCCGCTCCGTTGGCGCTGCCAGCAGAATCTCCCCCAGGGCCACCTGAGCTGGCGGCCGTGCAGCTTGCTCCGCTGGCACCGCCGGTGAAAGCATGCCCTGGTCGAAGCTCCGCATCTGTGTTGCCAGGCATCGCTCTGCGAAGCCCCAGGAGCCCGCCGCTGCGACCCAGCAGCCCTCGACTGGACGCCTCGAGGCAGTGGCCACCTGGCTCCCCAGAGCGCGCGGCCTCGCCGCCGCGCGGGGCGCCGGCTGGGCCGTCCGAACCCTCGACGAGCCACCTCCGGCAGCCCAGGTTGCCTTCCCCTGCACTGCTCGCGGCCAGCCCCGGGCGGGCGGGGCCCAGCGCCCCTGGGCCCGAGGAGCGGGCGGACGCGCTGCCAGAGCCCGGGCCGGAGCCCGGCCCGGGCCTCGCATTCGAGCGGGGGCGGCGCCCATCACCGGGCCACGCCCTCGAGCGAGGACGGCGCCCGTCGCCCCGGCGGCCCTCGCCCGCGCAGGAGCCCTGCCACGCCTCGTTCTACATCGGGGGCGCCTCTACCGACGAGGAGCCGCCCTCCGCCGAGGCCCAGGGGCCCGCGAGCGAGGAGGCGGCGACTCTCCCAGGCCACGCAGGGCCCTCGGAGCTGGTGCTGCCCGCCTGCCCTGCCGCCCTGCCCTCGGCGATGCAGAGTGAGGTGGAGCGGGCGAAGGCGGCGCTGTGCATCGTGCGGCTGGCGTGCGTGGAGCTGCACGCCTCCACGAGGTTCAGGGCGGCCACCGCGATGCTCCAGGGCGCCGCGAGCGCCGCGCTGGGGAGCCCGGCCGCCCCCAGCTTCGCGCTGGAGGGGCTGCTGCAGCTGGCCGACGCGCGGGGCGCGAGCGGCTTCAGCGTCGTCCACTACGTGTGCCTGGAGTGCCGCATGGCCGACCCCGGCTTCCTGCGAGGGCTGCTCGCGGAGCTCCGCCACGTGCCGCTCGTCGCGAAGGCCGCCGGGACGCTGGCCGGCATCCCAGAGCAGGCCTCGGAGCTGGAAGGGGTCGCCAGGGCCGCCCTGAGCGAGCTGGCCGTGGGCTGCGAGGAGCCGCGCCGCCCCCACGAGGGACCGGGATGCACACAACGTGGCCAGCCTGGGCGAGAGCTGCCCTCAACTCCCAGGAGGGCTGAAACAAGTTCCGCAGGGACTTCGGAGTTGAAGCTCCAGTCGGGGTTTGGTGAGCAGCCCAGATCGGCCTATAGTCTACAGGTCTGGAGGGCCATGTTCTGACACTCTGGAAGGTCAGGGTGGGTGCGGTCCTGTGGCCGCATGGCTTGCTGGCGCTCGGCCCTCGTGTGGCCGGGCACGCCGGCCCTCCGCGCCTGCGTCCAGCGCGTGGCCTCTCCGCACGTGAGTGCGGCCAGGTGGGCTACCGCGGGATCGGAGGATCACGCCTCATCGCCGATGCAGTGGCAAGGAGGCCCGGTCCTGTGGCCGCATGTCGTTCTGGCGCCTAGCACTCGTTGGGCCGAGCACGCCAGCCCTCTGCGTGTGCGTCCAGCGCGTGGCCTCCGCATGTGAGTCTGGCCGAGTGAGCTACCGTGGGATCGAAGGATCGCACCGTATCGCCGATGCACGTACGATGAGGCGTGGTCCAGTGCATACTTCTTCGCTCCCGACGCCGCTGGTGACGTTGTGCGATCCTCAGGCCCCGTTTATTCTGGGAGGTCTCTGGAGGTCCGTGGAGCGTTCGCTCCGGAGTCTCCGAGGGTCCTCGGAGTCTTCCCGAGGTTCCAGGAGGCGTCCAGAGGGCCACCAACAACAACAGAAAAATCGCTTCATGGGGGAGAGCCACGAGGCCCAGGAGCGCCGACAGGTGGGACTGGCCCAGAGGGGGAGGCATCGACGTCCCAATCGCCAAGTCATCACCAATCTGGGCCACGGCGCCCCACCTCGCCCACGAATGCGTGGCTCTGCCATCGAGGACCTGTCGCCCACCCACCAGTGACGTATCGCCGAATCCAGGTCACTGCTTCCCCCCCTCGAGCAAGTCCACCCCTCCCGGCCCGCACAACATGTGGGCGGCCCCCAGGCCCAGAGATCCGATGCTTTGATTGATTTCAATGCGGCGTCTCCGGAACACCCGACCTGTTCCCCAGGACCAGCTGTCCACCCCTAGCTGTATTTTGACGGTCCCAGGGGTTCGGCAAAGCCCCTATGGAGAAAGAGAGCGGCGAACAAAAGCCTGTCTTGTTTTTTTCGAGATGACGCCAGATGCTTTGGGCCCGAGGCGGGAAGTCATCCATCACCACCGATTGGGGGATTGATCTTCGGAGACATTGGCAGTCGGTGGAAGCATCAATGTCTGTGCATATACATATTCCTACACACATACATACATACAAACAGACAGATACACAGACAGACAGACAGGCAGGCAGGCAGACAGGCAGACAGACACACAGACACACAGGCATACATACATACATTCACACACACACATACATTCACACACATGCATACATGCATACATGCATGCATACATACAGACACACATATATCGGAGGCTGGGGGGTGAGATCGAAGTGGAACGGAGAGCCCCCCAACGGGAAATCGGTTTCGGTTTCGTGTTCGTGCGTGCCGTGCGTGCGGGCGAGGCGAAGCTACGTGGGCGGGAGAGAGGAAAATCTCCTGTGGCTGAAGCGCGGCCGGACCAAATGATTCTCCCTCCGGCAAGCGGTGGCGCGCGGTGTCCCGCCGGTGTCCCGCTTGTGGCTGGGCCCCGGCCGGACCAAATGATTCTCTCTCCGGCAAGCGGTGGCGCGCGGTGTCCCGCCGGTCTCCCGCTAGTGTCCCGCCGGTGTCTTGGTGTCCCGCTGGTGCGAAAATCATAGTGAGACCGATGACGAAATCGATTGTGAGATCGATAGTGTGATCGATAGTGAGACCGATAGTGAGATCGATCGTAAGATCGATAGTGAGATCGATAGTGAGATGACTAGTGATATCGATTGTGAGATGGAGTGATATCGATAGGGAGATCGTTAGTGGGATCGATAGCGAGATCCAGAGTGAGATCGGCACTGAAATCGATCGAGTGGGATCGATCGAGTGAGGTCGATAGTGGGATCGATGGTCCCATCGATCGTGAGACCGATAACGACATCGCTTGTGAGACCGATAAAAAGATCGATAGTGAGATCGATGGTGAGATCGATCGTGGGACTCATACGACATCGCTTGTGATATCGATAAAGAGATCAATAGTGAGATCGATTGAGTGGGATCGATCGTGGGATCGATTGTGCCCTTGCAAAATGAACTAAATATATCATTGTTCTGTTGATTCCCTGGGAGGGAAAAGGATACCAAGACGCCCGAGAGCGAAGGATGACGTAAACAACTCGACACCAAGGCGCCCAAGAGCGAGCGGCAACGCAACAATCACCACTGTTACCCAATGCTGCCCCCCGTCCCCCCCCCAACCTCCTTATCACCCGCAGGGTCGCAGAGTGGTCGTACAGGTGTAAATATGCATACATACACACATACACCCAGATACATACATAAATGCATGCACACATACATACATACATACATACATACATACATACATACATACATGCATACATGCATACATGCATACATGCATACATGCATACATGCATACATGCATACATGCATTCATGCATTCATGCATTCATGTATGCATACATACATGTACGTACATATATACACACATACATACACGAATGCATGCATGCATTCATACACAGATACAAACATCCATAAAGACATACATGCATACATGCAAAAAGACATACACGTATACACACAAACATACATGCAATCATACATACATATACCCATCCATACAGATGCATACATGCATGCATGCATAAATGCATGCATGTGTACATGCATGTGTGCATTCATGCGCGCATATAAACATATGGATATGTGCATACATGCGCACGCACGCACGCACGTACATATATGCATACATACACACATGCATATACACATGTATGCATGCGTGCAACTTACATACACGTGTGTATATATATATATATACATATGTATGCGTGCGTGTATGATCCAGGGTTGCCATCCCTTCCCCCCCAGTGCATATGGGATCGACCCCCCCCACACCCGCTGGATGGGTACGCCCGTGAGCTTCGCGGAGGGCCCCGCGAATGGTATCGATCCCATACCCCCCCTGTGGTCGTGGCCTTATGGGCGTCGCGTGGTGGAGAGTGCTGGTGCACCCCCCCTTCACCCTTGTGAGTGTAGGGTGGTTCGTCGTCGTCGTCGCCATCATCGTCGTCGTCGTCGGCAATCGGCAGTCGGCGTCGGCGTCGACGTCGTCATCCCCCCCATCCCATCTGGGGGTGGGCGCCTTTGGAACCCTGGGAACCATCCCATCTGGGGGGGGGCCGTGAATCCTTCACCCGGGATCATATATATATATATATGTATATAAAAAATGTGTGTATGCATCAGAGTCGGGGGGCCAAACGGTCAATCATTGTCCTTGGGTGAGTGGTTGAAGTGGGGTTCCGCGGTGGAGATCGCTGGTGAATTGTTAGTTGATGTTGTTGTATGCTGTATGTTGATGTCGTCGTCCCACTCGCGACCCGGCCGGCGACCCACCCGCGACCCGCCAGCGACCCACCCGCGACCCACCAGCGACCCACCCGCGACCCACCCGCGACCCAGCCGCGACCCACCCCGCGCCCGCCCCCTCACTTTTATCCACAATTGCGGGGTTTTACATACATAATTCAATTCAACAGCATATAATCATATATAATGTGTCTATGCATACGTGTTTGCATGTTTGCAGGATTATGTATGTGTATCTGTATATGTACCGAGTGGACTTCAGCAAATCCCGCCACCTTGCCTGGGTTGCGAGTCAGAGGCCATCTGGAAGCCTGCGAGGATCTCTTGAGAGGCCTGTCGGATGCCTCTTGATGGCGGCTTGCGGGTTTTAGGGCCTCTTGGGGCTTGATTTGGGCGTCGGGGCCCAGGAGCCTCTTGGGCGTATTTCGGGGGCTTGCGGGAGAATATTTAGGCCATCTTGGGGCAGAGTGCTCAAAATGTCAGTTCGTGTTCCCCCTCTTGGGCCCCTCTCGGGGCCGCCTTGGGCGCCACGCCATTGGGTGACTCTTGTGCCCCTCTTGGGGGGTCTTGGCCGTTTGTGGACGATCTTGGGAGCCTCTTGGGCGAGGACGCTCTGGAGACTGAGGAGTCGGTGGTGCGAAAACAATACAAAACCCCATGGATGTTGACGATGTGGGCTTCTTGGGCTGCCCCCTTGGACCTCTAGGACGCCCCAGGAGGCGCCAAAGGAGTCAACAGGCTGTCGTTAGGGTGTCAGAAAAAGTAATAGGCCAGGTTTGACATGCATGTCCCGAACAACGCGGTCTTGGCCTCTGAAAAAACGCGGGGGGGGCCCAATGGCGCGCGAGAGCGCCCAAGAGCGCCCGTGAGCCCGAGAGCGCCCGGATTTTTGTGATGCGAGTCCTTAAAGAATATCTCCTGAATTCAGTACAGAGAACTCAAGTTTATTTGAGGACGCTCCACATCGTGCCTCGAGGCACGGTGGCGGATGCGCACATGCACACGTATATGTAGATTGTATACATATGTGTACGTGCAAGTGGACTTGTATGTGCAAACGTATGTGTGTATGTCAATGTATTTGGGTGTACATACACATACGTATACATACATGTATACACACATGTTTATATATATACATACATACATACATACATACATACATACATACATACATACATACATACATATATACACATACACACAGATAAATACGCTGGCCCAGGAGGGCGGAGGCAAATACATCCAGATCCTCCGCGTGCCAGGCCCCCGAAGACCGGTCCCCCGGGCGGTGGTCTTGGAAAGCACTGGGGCAGGAGTACGGGGCCAGCAGCGCCTCCGCGGCCTCGCGCATCCGGCTCGTGGCGCTGGCCACGCGCGCCGGCGCGGCCGCCCGGTCGCTGCGGCGGGCGGAGGAGCGCACGCGGGCGGCCGCTGCCGCCTGCGGGCACTTCTTGGGGCAGGAGGGCTCCGAGGTTGCGCGGGGGTCAAAAGCTTCAGCTAGTTGGCGATTTCCAGAGGTTGGGGGCTCTTCTGGGCCGAATCCGCCTCGACATCCTGGCCGGAACGCACCCCCGGCGAGGTCGAGGGGCCGACGTTGGACCCCCAGGCCCACACCCCCGTTGCGTCGCTGGGAAATCACGACGGGGGGATTTTCGAAGAGATACCGCCGGGCTCTGGCACCCTCAACCAAAACGACTCGGGACGAAAAGCTGATCCTGGGAAGGGGTCGAGACCGCAGAAGTTGGAGATCTGAGGTCCGAGGAGGAAGGCATATCACGGAAGGTTGGCGCCCTGTCGACGCGGCGGCGACGCAAGCGCGGGCGGTCGGCGCTAGTGACCCAGAATCGGCCGACATCGAACAATCGGCTCCATCGGATACTGTAATTTGGAGCCGCCATCGAGCGATCTGCGCTACTGAACCGCGCTAACGTCACGACCTACCTCGACTTCGACGTTTCGGCGGCTTTGAGGTGGGACCTTTTCGTCGCCACAGCAGCACGCATTTCGAAAAAGTGCCCAGGATATGCTTCGGGAGGGATCGGGGGATTGATTTGGAGCGGATTCCCTAGATTTCCGACGTCATGATTTTGTCACCACGTGGTTCCCCGGAGGTTTCAGACCCTTTCCCTGGGAACTATTCGTCGCCCCAGGTCGTACTTGCTTGTCTTGGGGCCGCCCGGTGAGGACCCCCGGAGAGTGAGGACCCCAGTAAGCCGAAAATTTGGAACAGTTGCCTATCGTGGTTTTCGGCGGCGAGCGACGGGGGGAAGTGAGAAGGAAAAGGCATTTTCAGCAGGCGGCGCGGCTTTTCAGAAGCCCTCCAGCCTTTTGAGAAATGTTCTGGGTCTTCAGGGAAGACTCGTAGAACTTGTTCAGAAGGCTGGGGGACTTCCGAGCCTTCTGTGAAGGCCTGCCCCTTTTCATTTCCTCCCCGGCCGCGTCGCCGATTTTTGTCCATGGCGCGACGGGGTCCGGGTTCGCCGAGGGCCCCGGGAGGAGGGCATGCCGATGCGTGTGCCTTGCCCTCGTATTCGCCTTCCTCGGCGTGCCAGGGGGGGGGGGAGGGCTTCATCGCCGCGGCCAGATCCGCCTCAGGATCTTGGTCGGGGCGTTCCACGGGTCAAGCAGTGGCGAAGCGTCCTGGCTTGCCTAGAGGCCCACCAAAGAATGGTCTAAGTAACATGTGCGGCTTGCGCGACATGTTATTTGAACATGTATGGCTGAACCTGTCTTGTTCTAGCACTTTGGGTGCACGTTGTAAGAACATTGTTTTTGCCATTGGCATTGGAACATTTGATGGTTTCAAGAACATGTCGTGGTAGGCATATAAGAATGTTGGGGCGGTCGGTCCCTGCTCAAGCGGGAGAGGTCCAGGGAGCAGCGGTATCGGTATCCTCACAGGCCCTCGACGCCGCGATTTGTTCACAGCGTAGGCCCTCATTGGTGTGGGCCGCGTTTTCCCTGGAGGCGGTTTCTTGTCCCAAGCCGTTGTCTGACGCCCCCAGGGCCCAGTAGGGGCTCCAGAAATCCGAAAGTGGGCAAAGCCGACAGTCGGGTTTTTCTTGTATGCGGCGAGAGGACTTTTTCCTGGGGTGCGTTTTGACCAAGTTTCGGAGGGACGTCCAGCCATGGCGTCGAGAAGTTTCAAGCAGGCTCCCAAAAGCATCGTCCATTAGGTTCGTAGCTTTCACGACGCCAGCAGCGGCATCGGCATCATCATTGCTGCTCCCCCGGAGCGAAGGGCGAGAGAGGATCAGTTGGATGTTTTTTTTCCAAATCAGAAGCCTAGCGGTTGCGTGTTCGGCACCAGCCTGCGGTTGGGGCCTGTTCAGATTTTGATGAGCCAAACACTTTTAAGCCGAGCCAGAATAATCGCTGGCACCCACCGTCACCTCTTGGTGCGCACGACCGATCGCGCAAGCATGACTTTTTTCCACAACCGAGCGCACCACAAAGCGCAGTCCAAATTGCAGCCATCCTTCCTGCAGGCACGGGAGGAGGAGGAAGAGGAGGAGGAGGAGGAGCGGGAGGAGGAGGAGGCGTTAGAACATAGCTTAGCGACTGGGTGGGGAACTAATCATAACGTTCGTGTCCGACGGCTGTTCTTACCGCCGCCGCTTGGCCCAACTACCATCAACAAATCGTGTCGCACGTTCGGTGTGAAAGCATATTTCCCATTACCAGCGAATCGTTCCCGTGCAAACCCTTCCCGGGCATTTGCATGGTAGCAGAGCGAGGTGAATGGCGGCCGCGGAAGCAGCAACGGCAGCACCCGCCCAACCAGGAGACCCGCTCCCGGAGCTACGCAATTCATTGCTCTTACGCATCGTCAATCGTAACATGTACGGCCGCGGGTGAAACGAAGAAACTCCAGTGAAGGATCGGAAACTTGGAAAATCAAGCGCAGGTGCAGAAACAAAACACAATGGATCTACTTACGAATATTGCGGAGTCGATAACAGAAGGAAAGAGCCGATTCGGTGGGCAAACCATCAGTAGCCAGGTAGCGAGTACAAGACCACACAGCAGCTGAAAGCCTTCGCCGGGGGACCGATCCAAATTTCGTGAACGGATTGAGAAGTTGTGAAATATCTTGGCCGAAGTAAGCCACCAGCACAGGAAGGTGTTGAAGGATTTTGAACATACATATATATACACACAAAAATATGAACTTACATGAATGTGTGTTGGAAACCATGGACGGAACCTTGCACGACGAGGACGACGGTGACATGATCAGGGTCCCCATCGGGCGGCTAACAGCGGCCAAGTACGTGAAAGCAAGCGAGGCCAGACATGATCACGACGACGCCACGGGAGAGTCTGAGATCAAAGACAAAACGGTGCGCAAGCCAGACGGGGATATGTGGTACACTATGAATGAAAAATTGGAAGGAGTGAAGCCTCGGGGAATGTTAGAAGCACTGCGTGAGGGAGATGGATTGCCAGCGTATCAAAATATGTACTAGTGGTACTCAGCAGTTACCGGAGTGACACTGTCGGACAAAATGAGTTTGGCCATGAACCCTGACAAACCGAAGAAGGTTGGGGACGTCGTTACCAAGTTAGAAAAGTGGGCAACCCTAGCTGAGGCGTTGGAGAAGTATGTTCCAGCGTACTCGTTAAATCTCCAGTTTCGCATCATTGCATTTAAAACCCGAATGGCCCTCGCAGGGGACTGGGTTCGAAGGGTGGCACCAGGAGTGTTTTGAAACGCCAGATGCGCTCACAGCTGAAAGCGATCAGAAACTGCACGTTCAGCGTGAAGATTGGGCACGCAAGAAGCGGTTAGACGCCAATGCGCGGAACCACGATCCCATGGACAGGTGGGGCGTTCGCGGCAGCAGCGACGACCGCAGGAGCACTTGGAACTCACGATAGGTTGGAATACAGAGAGACATGTAGACGAAGACAGATATTGATGGTCCAAAGAGGGAGAGTGGACTGACAAAGACGAACGCAGAGGGGGAGACTACAGGCGCGGTTACTTCGGGCACATTGTTGCAAAGAGCAGGAATGGAGGGAACAAGGGCCGCATGGGAAAGAGCGGAAGCAAAGGAGGCAGGATGACGCGCGGTCAACGCGTTTGAGGGAAGAGCCAAGGCAACTGTGGAAATGATGGCAGCCATGGAAGGGAAATTGGAACAGAGGTGGATTCGTGCCTATGGATTACCGCGAGTGTTACGCATGCGGACAAAGAGTCGCCCTGCGGCCCAGTGTTCTGGACAGGGAACCAACGAGGCAGAGCAGCATAAGGACGCCAAGCCAGAGTGAGGAAGCTCTGGGGGGCCAGGCGGGACGCCACGCATCGCGCATGGACAGTCCGTGCCAGGTCGTTACGGAGTGGACCCCTCCAGCGAACCACAGGGGTGACATGAATGGCCCCTGCAGGGCCACGAGCGAAAAATCAACCAGGGGATGCGTGCATTGAACCGGGCGCCAATCGCGAGGGCGCGCCGCCGCTGCCCCACATGCGCCGATGGTTGTGGGCGACCCGACAGGGCTCGCATGAGCCCGCAGGCGAAGCGGACGTGGCAGTAGAAATATGCTGAGGCACGGCAGGGAGAAGCGCCCAGCGCGTCGCCGGAAGGAAACGCGGCGCCGCCCGGGGAATTGCAGGGGGGCGCGAGATCGCGGCGGTGATTCTGGGATCGGGAGCGCACTGCGCGGTCGGACCGCCAGGCGCGAAGAACCTTTTTTCCCGTTGCCCCCGCGGGCGCCTCGCTGGAAAACGCTACAAGGCCGCCAACGGCGCAGTTATCCGAGACAATGGGCAGAAGCCTATCAGAGGAAGCAACGCACAAGCTGCCCATGGGAGTGCCCATCCAGGTGGCCGACGTTGATAAGGCGCTCGGGTCTGCTCGGGAAACTGTCGAAGCACGAGACAGGATCGCGCCTGTTCGGGATAAGAAGAGGCCGCCGCGCAGCCACATAGAACTCGAGGCCACGGGGCAGGGAACAGTGGCGCACGAAAGAGGGCACGCTCGAATTCAAAATCAAAGCACCGGCGGAAGCACGGCGCGCAGGACCGAAATGGGGGGCGGGGGAAGTTGCGGGCGGCGGGGATTTTCCAGGGCGGGGAATCCCGGCGGAGAACTTGCCCCATCCAGTTCACCGGAACCCGTTGGACCCAATCATAGGCTCGTTATCTCAGGAGTAGATGATGATGGAGACGACGAAGATGGGGGCAGCGAGATTAGCGAAGCGGAGGATGTCTCCCCCGCGGGGCGCCGATTGCAGGCGGTTCAAAGGGGAGAAAGATGAACGAACGGAAGGCGGTCGAGGCAACGCCATTCTAGTCACGCAGCGCCGGGATGCAGAACCCACTTGAAGCATAGTGGCCTCAAGGGGAGGACCAGGCCCGCACCCGGTTAAAGTGATAAGGGGTATGGCATCCTCTTGCAGGGCACAAAAGAGGCTTATTCGAGAGCGACGGTGAACCAGCAATTGCAATGTTGAAAGAGGCGGTCAA